AAATATATGGTCTTTTATTTATCATATTTCCGATATCGCTCGCTCAGCTAATCCCGATGCTATGGACAATAAACGCTAAAATGTTTCAACCGTACCCAGTCTACCCTATATATAAACCGTCCAATTCAACTCCATGCCATTAGATCATCCAATTCGCCTCCATGTAATGTTGCCAAATTTCGGAGGCGCATTGACTGAAGAATGCATGGAGGTAAAGTGGTAAAGCCCACAATATGTCGTGTATAAGTGTATAAGACTTGAGTGCCATCTATTAAAAAATTCCTGAACTGAATTGTATAACTGTATATGTGCACATGACGAATTGGCCTCCACCGAAAAATTTGGGAAAATGTGTTTTGATACGTCACACGACGATTAAACATGTTATACACGTCGATACGTTTTGGCCTCCGAATTTTCCAATTCGCCTCCGATTTTGGAGGCGTATTCGTATAGAGCATAGTGCATTTCGGAGGTGTATAAGACAAAATGCATATATATATATATATATATATATCGGTTTAAAAATGTGCCGTTATTGCACAGATATTTTAGATGAAACAATATTTTTAAACGTGACTTAAGTGAAAATAATGAGTGCAAATTACGGAAGCCGTGGAGAGTTAATGCTGGCTAAACTTGGCATACGGTAAGTATCTTAAGTATAGTTGTTTGATATGGAGGTATTATTTGCTCTTGTATTTCTTAGAAATAACCTTTTTGGTGCCGGAGGCAGATATACCGATCCTCGCTGCACAGCCACAGCCGATATATCGGCCCGAGCCTTGTAACGTTTTACTATTCGCATTGCAGAGGAACTCTAGCTCAAAATAAATGTACAATACGTTATAAATGGTCTAATTTCATGATGAGAAAAATAAAAAAGTAGTTGTTCGTTTTAACTTTTTGTGGACGATGACTTTTTCTTCGCAACACAAACGACATCCGATCGTTGCGCTGGACCCTTGTCGGAACATGCCGACAGCGTGCGATTTAACAACTGTTTGAAAAATAATATCGCATTGTCGCAGGGAGACGTAGGATGAGTTAATTTTGTAAGAGAGAACTCAACTTTTACCTACTTCATGATCTTTTATACCTTTGTTATTTATAAAATTTTCAATGGACGTTGAAAAACTAGTATCATTGTTTTGTTCTCTATTTCGTTCTTGATATACTGCTTTTTGAATCATATAAATATTGTTTATTGTTTGGTTTTTATGAGCATGTTCTCAAAGCCTAGTGAAATCGTGAAATTCAGCCAGTTATTCTCGCATAGGCTCCACTTTTTCGCCTGGCACTAAAAGAGTTAAAAAGATAACAAAATATGTTTAATTTGGTAATTTGAATATTATTTTTAGTATGACACGAGATCATAATGATAGTCAAATGGAAAGCTGGCGCATTTTGTCTTCACATGCCACTCTCAGTGAGAATCCTCAAGCAAAGGATGAATCAACGGGACCAACATTAGGTAGGTTGAAATAAATTTCTACAAAACTAGTACGTAATTTATTTTTAATTTAATTTTAGAAACTGCTCAAATTGACGAAGGAGAAGTATTGCAGAATTTAGTTTCTCTTCGAGATAGTGCGGTACCTACATCTGCATGAATTGGTAATTATTGAAATACGAGTACTTATTATACCTATATACTTTTCAGCTGTATTTCTAAAAAACAATATTGTTTTTATTGCAGAAAACAGTCAAGCTAACTGTTAAGATTATAGAAACATTTAAATCACCCGCCATTCTCCTGCCATCTGTTCGTTGCTGCCTTAAGGCTGCTGCACAATTGCCCGGGAACGGGAACGAGAACGGAAACGAGAGAAAAGTTCAATTACATATTATCCAATACATTCATGCACAACAAACGGAAACGGCAACGGTAACGGGAACGAAAACGGAAGAGTTGGCCAAGATTCAACTTTCCCGTTCCGTCGCCTTCTCGGAGCCAATCAGAATGCTCAGAACCAGGACATGCGCATTACAGTATTAACCTAAAAATTGAGTTTTGTTTATTTTGGTCTTTGTTTGGAGTAGTAACGGTAACGCTACGATTTCATTATGAATGACGAATTATTGATTCAATTAGTGGAAAAGTGCCCACACATTTACAATAAAACGTTGAAGGAATACAAAGATGATAAAATGAAAGATAATAGTTGTCTATCAATAGCAGAGTTTCTCGATTCGGAACGTAAGTATGAACATGTGGTGCTTAGCGTCCTTAGCGATACGATTATACATTTTTTGTTTATAATGTGAACAAATGCGAAAAATCTTTTAGCTAACCACTCATAATGGTATTACAAGATTCCATTTAAATAGCGTAAATTGAAGCTCTTAGTCATTTTGTATTAACTCATTATACGCTGGTTTATGTTAGTGCACAGAATTTATAATTCAACAATACATGATAAAACTTCATAACAGATTTAACTCTTTTGCAGCAGCCATAGTGAAAAAGAGGTGAGAGACAGGTTTGTTCGAGCCTATAGACAATACAATACTGTGCTTCCTTCAGGTTCAGGTGGAGGAACACAACAACAACCGGACTTCCCATACTTTGAAATAATGATGTGGTTAATACCATTCATCAGGAAGAGAAAGTAAGTCATACAGTGTAATTGAATCATTTTGAGGTCTACATAGTGCCACCCATTGTAGGCTGGCGCTGAGAGTTCAGTGTGTACTTTGTGTCACCCAATTATTAAACCTTCATTTATAAGTACTTCAATAAAAATTACACCTGAAGTTTATAATGGTCAGGTGGAATGAACTATTTGTTTTTGATTTTTATGAATATACCAGTCCTCTTTGTATGTTAAGACAACTCTATTATATTTCAGGCTGATATCCTCGACTGCCCCAGAAAGTGCTTCAAAAGTGCCATACATTGAGGAGGTTGAGTCTGAACCATTACTAGATGATTATGTTGTGGGATCAGATGGTGTATTGTCACCTGAGCCTACCCAGTCTAGACCTACCAGCTCACATTCATCCAGACCTGATAGTGCATGTGGACACAAAAAGAGCATCCAGGAGTCAATGGCCACAGCTTTACAAAATTTTTCAAAAATATGTGAGAAAAGATTTGGTGAAAATACTGAAAACAGTGACACACATTTTATGAAGTCCATTCTCGATGACATGCAACATCTGCCACTGAAGAAAAAAATTAAATTTAAAAAAGAAGTCATGGAGTTACTAGTTAAATATATTGAGAATGAAGATATCTGAAATATATTATGTCATTCTTTTAATGTGTAGGAATAAAATATACAAAAATGTATACTTGCTACTTTTATTTATAAAAATTGATACTAAAAAATACTACTATGCTTTTAATTTCCATACAATAGACAGTATGCTAGCATATTTCAAAATCTTCCTCTGTTAACATATGCCATTTGCCATGACACTGCTCCAGCATCTGATATCAAATATTCTGCTAGCTTGTCTCTCAAAGCCATAGTTGCACTGGCTGATATATTTGCTCCCACTCTGCCAATTGGTGTCAAGTTGGTGTCATTTTGGATGATTTCTCTCCATTCACCATCCCTATTTGTTCCACCATCATCCTTCAAGGAGTCTATTAATGTAGGTGGTACATATGTCGTTGGTGCCTCAGTTTTCAAATAATTATGTAGGCATATTGTAGCTTTTACCACAGCCTCTGTTGTTTTTATGGAGCATAGCAGAGGAGAGCGATAAACTCTCCATCTACTTGCAAGTATCCCAAAACTATTTTCTATGACACGTCTTGCTCGTGATAATCTGCAACAAAATTTGTCAGAAATATTCATTTTGTGCTGTTTCCACATACCTACCTGTAGTTGAAAACTGATTTCTGCTCGGTTAGTTGCCTCCCTGGATATGGCCTCATTAGATATGGTTTCAAAGGGAAAGCTTCGTCGCCAACAAAAAAATAGGGCATTTCAACATTGCTACTTGGCAATTGATCTACCTTTGGCAACTGAACTGATCCTTCATCTAACTGTTTTCCCATCTGAGATCTCCGAAATACACTAGCATCATGTTCAGAGCCATACGCACCAATATCTGCCCAAATAAATTTATAATCAGCATCACAGCATGCTAGTAAGATAATGCTAAAGTGGTTTTTATAATTATAATACAATGACCCACTATTCAATGGGCATTGAATGTGAACATGTTTTCCATCAATGGCCCCAAGTGTATGTGGAAAATTCCATCTATTTGAAAACTGGTGGCTGATATTAATCCACTCTTGTTCAGTAGGGGATTTCAAGTAAATAGGTTGCATTGTATCCCAAATTGCGGTGCATGTTTCAAAGATCACTTTTGCAACAGTTGAATGTCCAACGCGGAATTCCCATGACAAACTTTGAAATGATCCTCCATGAGCCAGAAACTTCAAAGTCATAGCCAACTTTAATGCAGGGCTTAAATATTCTCTCCTACTATGTTTTAGTAGTTTTGGCTTAAGGAGACACAGGATACTGTCAAACTGATCTGGTACCTAGCATTCTTGTATACTTAAAAAACATTTCAGGATCCTTTGTTTTCATATGGGTAAAAATATTTCGAAAAGCCCCTTTCTCATTCCTTTCTCTGAATATTGGTCTGACCCACCATCTTTAAAATATACAAATTCCAATGTATGTGATTCATTGTTTTTTCAAATTTGGCCTACCTTCTATTTTCTTGTGTCATTAGATACAAAAAGACACATTCCAAAAAAAGAAAGGACAGAAAGAGAAACTGTTCGTCAAAATCCATTTTTTTTTTTTTGATAAATAGTCTAAAAATAAAAAATCAACTATTTTTTACCACAACTGTTTACGAGCAGCGAGGAACTGTCAAAATTGCATAAAGTAAGGTTAGGTACAAAAATTCTGTCATAGTTGTCAACTGCTTCCGATGTGCTCCCGTTAATTGTGCATCTGCCGAAGTCTCTCGTTCCCGTTCTCGTTTCCGTTTGCGTTCTCGTTTCCGTTACCGGGCAATTGTGCAGCGGCCTTTAGACGAGGAAAGAGAGTGGACTCGTAACGCGCAGAATTATTGAAGAGACGCCATTATTTGGGTCCTGTTCTTGAAACCGACTCCAAGCTTTTTTTTCTGTGTTTCTGTGTTATTGTGTATTAAAGACTGCGACTTTTTTATTCAATAAGAATGGTGTTGTGCTCGGCTTTTGGTTGCAAAAATCGCAGTGAGAATAAAGTGCCAGGAATAACCTTTCACAGGTAAATTTTTTAGTTGTATTGATAACGTAAATACCTTAATTACTTTATAACTCCATTTTAAACGACTGCAACAATATTATTTCAGTGATTTAAGTACTACTTCACTTGAATGCATAATTTAAATTAGTTATAGCCATGTGTTTCATTCAGGATTTGTTTGCAATTATCAATTTTATATATCACCCAGTTGCGGGTGTGATATTTTTTATTTATTATTTACATTTTCAAATATGTTCAATATCAATTTAGTTTAGTATTGTTGTCATTGTCTTTCAGGTTTCCTCTTAAAGATCCAACAAGAAATGGTATGTGGCTGAAGAATATGCATCTAGCTGACTGGTTTCCCACAAAAAATAGTAGGATCTGTTCAAAGCATTTTGAAATCCATGCTTTTTACAAAGTTGGAAACAGAACCTCTCTTTTGGATGATGCAGTCCCTACAATCTTTGATGAACTTCCAAAACACCTACAGTCTAAGGTAATTTAACACTTAACCCAACATATTAAGAAATTTACTAAACAAATTATTCATTTACTCAGTTCACAGAGAAATTCTACCAATAATTAATATAATCTGAAATAACCATATACTAATTAAGTTGAGGACTAATTAATGTAATTGAGATATATTTGAATGCAGGTAACAAAGAGACCGCATCCAAGATCAAGACAGCTTATTACACCTACAGCTTCGACATTTAGGAAAAATGATCCTCCCCAAGAAGATCCAGACACCCCCAGAAAGAAGCATCTTAGAAGACAGCTTTTTGCAGAAAGGGTAAAGAGCCAAGAGAAATCAAGAGAAATAAAAGTTTTGAATCAGCGGGTGAGAAGACTGAAAAGACATATTGTTTCTCTCAAACAAGTAGTGAAAGCCTTAAAACAAAATAATTTGGTATCTTCTGAAAGCTCAGTTCTGCTTGAAAACAAAAAAGCATCAGTATTCTCCAGAACTGCGAAAGTTTGCAATTACTTTGTGTTTTTTCTCCCCAAGAGGATATGATTATGTACGAAATGCTTTTGAAACCTGTTTACCCCATAGAAGCACTATAGGAAAATGGTTTAAGGCCATTAATGCTGAACCAGGTTTCTCTAGTGAGGCAATTAATGTTTTGAAGAAAAATGTAGAATATTCGGATAATCCTGTACTATTAAGTCTCATTATAGATGAGATGTCCATTCGGAAGCATCCTGAATGGGATGGTAGAAAATTTCATGGATATGTCAATTATGGCATTGATTTAGAAGATGATTCTAACTTAATGGCCAAAGAGGTATTTGTTATGATGATTGTTAACATTAATGGAACTTGGAAGCTGCCAGTTGGCTATTTCCTTGGAGATAGTTTGATGGAAATCAAAAAAGTGTACTTGTTTCACAGTGCATACAATTAGTTTCTGCTACAGGAGCACGAGTTGTATCGCTTACATTTGATGGTGCTCCTTCAAATATTGCAATGGCAAATACTTTGGGAACCAATAATTCTTATGACTCATTAAAAACACATTTTTCTTTAGATGGTGACAACATTTATGTTTCTTATGATCCAAGTCATATGATAAAATTAATAAGAAATGCTTTTGGGGAAAGAAAACTACTAATAGATGACAATGGAAATTTCATTAAGTGGGAATTTATAGAAAAACTGGAAAAACTTCAAGAATCCGAAGGACATTTAGGAAACAAGCTGCGAAAAGCCCATTTAAATTTCTTTAAACAGAAAATGAAGGTAAGATTGGCAGTGCAATTATTAAGTGCTTCTGTAGCAGATGCGCTTTGTTATTATGAAAAACAATTGAACTTGGAGGAATTTAAAGAGTGTCAAGCTACTGCTAAATTTATTAATATTATAAATAATTGTTTTGACATTTTAAATAGTAGATCTTTGATTCCTCCAGGTTACAAAAAGTCTCTATGCATTCGAAATATAGATTCAATAAAAACCTTCATTGAGGAGGCAATCAATTATATACCATCGTTAAAATTTATTGATGGAGAAAAATTGATTGAATCTAGGAGAAAAACAGGTTTTCTGGGTATAATTCTATCTCTAAGAAGTGCTTTGTTGATGTATAATGATATAATTTTAGATAGAAACGAATTAGTCTATTTGCCATTATATAAAGTGAGTCAAGACCACCTTGAATTGTTTTTCTCATCAATAAGGTCTAAAGGTGGTTGGAATACTAATCCAACAGCTCGACAATTCACTTCAGCCTATAAAAGACTAATTGCTAGAGCAGAAATTAGGGAGGGCGGTGTGGGTAATTGTATTCCAATGGATGATATACCAATTTTAACCCAATCCAGTAGACTAAAAACTCCAGTGGATGATCTAAATGCAAACAATTTAAACTTGTTGGGTGAAATTCAGGAGCAACCTTCTTTACAGACGATATGGAGGGACCATGACTATATAATGAACAGTGATGTGATAAGTGAGTGTTCCACACAAATAATAATTTATATAGCTGGTTTTGTTGCTCATCAATTGAAAAAAATTATCAAATGCGAAGACTGTGTCCAGTCATTCACTGGCCGCGAAAATCTATTCCGGAGGTAAATAGAACCAGCTTGCTGATGAAATATAGAGACAATTCGGTTCATTTATATTTTCAAGTCTTGGCCAATTAATAATAGTTATTCTTTGTCTTTATATTAGATGAGGCTCTATTAAATCGTCTGTACCACGATGTTATATGAGCGCATCAGCTTGTATTCCTTGTTCTACTCTTCCCCCTGCATTTCCTCATCCACTTGAAGAAGATGAAGCTATCAGTGGTCCTGCTCCATCTGGAGTAGAAAAGGCAGATGAGGAAGATAAGTTTTTGTGGCCTACACAAATGGTTTTTCTGCTATTATCTAAATTCGAAGAGCATAGGTCACAATTAGATGCGGGGGAGAAAACCCATAAGTCATTGTGGTTACAAATTGCAGAAGATATTAAAAAGCTAACTGGATCTACCCTTTCCCATAGTCAACTTCAGTCAAAGCTAAATGGCCTCAAAAACCGTTACAAAATAATATTGGCGAGGAAGGGTAGATCTGGTAGTGGCACTAATAGATGGCCGTACCTAGAGCGGATGGAAGAATTATTTGGTCGCTGCGCAGCCAGAGCCCATTACCAGAAAAATGAAGAAAACAGATGTCGCTGCCCTAGAAAAATTAAAATTACGGAAAGAGAAAGATGCAGGCACTGCAGAAATTGATGGAACTGAAGGAAAGGCACCATAAAGAAAAAATTGATGCTCTAAAGAAGATAGGCGAGGCTTTGGCAGGGCGTAAATTATTTGAAGATGAAAACTAGGCTTCGTGTACTCGTGTTTGGTCAATTTTTGCATATTTTTATTTTATTTTTGTTTGTTTTGATAATATTCGTTGAATTCTGATCTTTTGAATCATGAATATAATTTTAAAAGCTTTGATGTGTCATTTCCTAAAAAAAATTATTTAAACCAATGTCACTTTTAAAACAAATGCACTGAAAATATTTTCAAATCAGACTGTATTACAAAAATAGAATCACATTTACTAAATGTTTCTAACAGAAAGTTCATTCATGATGCGGTCTCTCTTTGCACTAGCTGCAGGTCTCCTTGTGGCATCATCTATTAGCATGTCTCTTTGCTGGACAAGGGGGGTATCATTTAAAATCTGTGGTTCACTAAGGACAAACAAGTCATCTCTTTGAATCCAAATATTATGCAATACTGCAACTGCTAATAGATATTAAGCTGTGCTTAACAATGGTCCAACATGTCCCAAAGCAAATTCGAAAGTTTCTGGCAGCATTCTAAAATGCGATTTAAATTCTTCTGAGGAGAAACCCGGCACTGTGCGTTCTACAAACTCTTCAATGCGAGGCCTCTTTTGCATCGGTCCTCTTCTCTCTCCCTCATATACTTCAACCCCATCGCTTTCTTCACTAGAGGATGACGAGAAAATTAAACTGATGAGTTCCTCATCATCTGACGATGAATCTAGTGTTTCCTGGAGTGCACTAACAATGGCAAAAGCACGAATTTCGTTCAATTTCACTAAATACAATGAACAAAAGTACCAAATTTTTTCAATTGCGGTTAAAGCTTTGTTGTTTGTAAACAAGCACTTGCAAATCTAGCGGTCCGAAAGTCGTAGCGTCCACACGGGCAAACACACGGCAAACCAATCGGACCAAAGCTTGATTTAGTATTGGCAGACTTCAATATTAACGTCCAGAGGGAACAGAGTCCACTTGTACCTGAGGATCCCTATAATCCATCCCTTCTTATTAATTGCCCTTTTGACAATAGTATTGTTCAAGATAGAATTCAATCTTGTTTTACATACGATTACAGCAAGGCAAATTTGTTGCTCTTATATGAAATGATTAGGAATATAGACTGGTCCAGTCTCCATGACACATCTGATGTTGACACTTGTCTTGATTGCTTTTATGAGCAACTATATCATTGCATAGACTAATGTGTTCATAAAAAAGAAATTAATCTATCCAATAAACCTCGTGCTTTCCCAGTATGGTTTCCGCATGATCGTATTAAAAAAGTTTATCGGAAAAACTATCTTCACACTCTCATCAAGAATGGGAAGGCCTGTGGGGACCAAATCATTGAGTATGGTGAGATTCGTAGCAGAATAAAACATCAAACTAAATTTGAATATTCCCAGCACAAGTCTAGCATTGAGCGTATTATAACGGGTGGGCCATCTATCGGTTTCGATTTGAACCACGTGTTAATTTGACGCTGACAATACTTATGTCAATCTGATTTGTCATAAAATTCAGTATATTATCTCCGCTGAACGAAATGAATCGATTTACGCTTGAGCAACGTTGGGTAATATTGGAAATTTATTTCCAAAACAAAGACAATTGGGCAGAAATTGCACGAAAATGCCGTTCAAAATTCGGTCGCAACGAAGCACCAACAGCGCCCGGTATTCGCAAGTTTATTAATAAAGTGCGTGAAACTGGTTTCATTGTTGATGCTCCAACACGTCAGCGTGCTCGTACAGTGCGTACACCCGAAGGTATCGATGCTGTGGCTGCGAGTGTGCGTGAAAATCCATCAACGTCAACACGTCATCGTTCCCAAGAATTGAACATTTCCCGCACCAGTTTACGACGAATTTTGCGGAAAGATCTCGGTATGACGCCTTACAAAGTTCAATTGGTTCAAGAGTTGAAGCCGCGTGACCATCCACTTCGTTCTGCCTTCGCTACATGGGCCAACGAGCAACTAATCAATGATGTCGATTTTGCGAAAAAAATAATCTTTTCAGACGAAGCTCATTTTCATATTGGTGGCTACGTCAATAAGCAAAATTGCCGTATCTGGGGCTCGGAAAACCCACACGAGGTCTTAGAGAAGCCAATGCATCCCTTGCGAGTGACTGTTTGGTGTGGATTGTGGAGCGGAGGCATCATTGGCCCATATTTCTTTGAAGACGGGGACGGCGCAACCGTTTCTGTCAATGGAAACACCTATCGCACCATGATAACTGATTTTTTTGTTCCTGCTCTTGATGGTATTGATGTGGAGAATGTTTGGTTTCAGCAGGATGGTGCAACTTGTCACACATCGCATGCCACAATCAACTTATTGCGCGAAACCTTCGATGGCCGTTTAATCAGTCGAAATGGTGATGTCAATTGGCCGCCAAGAAGCTGCGATTTGACACCATTGGACTATTTCCTGTGGGGCGCTGTTAAAGACAAGTGTTATGTCGACCATCCAGAGACAATTGACCATTTGAAGGCCAACATTCGTGATGCCATTGACGAGATACGGCCCCAAACACTCGAAAAAGTGCTCGAAAATTGGTCCGATCGAATGGGCTACTGTGAGGCCAGCCGCGGCAGCCATTTGAATGAAGTAATATTTCATTTCTGAGCGGAACAATTGTACTTCAAAACAAAAAAATAAATTTGGCAATATCTCAAACCGTTTTTGTTTTATTTTATTTTTAAATCGAAACTTTTAAATCTCCCACCCAATATAATCTATCTATCAGAAGCAACTATTTCCCGGGTAGACTTCGAAAATCAATTGTAACACCAGTCTTCAAGGGTGGTTGTGTCAACAATATTCCAAACAATAGGCCAATTTGTCTCTTGAGTTCTTTGGCAAAATTATTTGAAATCATTCTCTATGAAGATTTGTTTGACAATGTACGGGATGGCATAGCAGATGAACAACATGGCTTTTGTGAGAGAAAGTCTACTGTCTCTAACTTAGCCTGCTTTGCAAACCATGCATTTGAGGCGATTGGTCACCACTGCCAGCTTGATACAGTGTACACTGATTGTACAGGGTGGGGCAAAAGTCACGAAGGGATTTGAAAAATTAATAACTTTTTTAAATTTATTTTGTTTTCATTTTTTTTTTCAGGACCGTGTAAAATAAATCCTGGAGATTAATTATGGAGCGTTACAACCTCAATCAACGAACCAAACTTATAGAATTTTATTTTGAATATCACCATTCAATAATTCAAACTCAACGAGCATATCGTCGTCATTTCAATTTGCGGAATTCGCCCTCTGAATCAATGATTCGACGCTTAGTGGCACGATTTCAGCAACAAGGCACAGTTATGGATCTCCCACGAAGCGGAAGGCCACGTTCCGCAAGAAATGAAGGGAACATTCAACGCGTTCAGGAGAGTGTTCAGGAGAATCCGGAAACCTCAACCCGAAGACGTTCTGCTGAGCTGCAAAGGTCTTTACGCAGAATATTAAGAGGAAATTTACATCTGTTTCCATATAAAGTGCAGCTAGTGCAAGAACTAAAACCAGCAGATTTTCAAGAACGACTAACTTATGCAGTTCGCTTGCAAAGAATGGCTCGAGAAGATAATGAATTTATTCATTCTCTGATCATGAGCGATGAAGCCCATTTTCATTTGAATGGCTTCGTAAATAAGCAGAACTGCAGAATATGGGGTACCGAGAACCCAAGGGTGGTTCATCAAAGGCAATTACATCCGCTTAAATGTACAGTATGGTGCGCAGTTACGTCTCAACGAATTATTGGACCATTCTTCTTCGAAGACCACGATGGGAATGCTGTATCTGTAGATGGCGACCGATATCGTGATATGATTCAAAATTTCTTAAGACCAGCTCTTGCTGACAATCAAACGATGACTTTCCAACAAGATGGAGCCACTGCGCATACTGCTCGAGCCACTATGCACCTTCTAAGGCAGATTTTTGGCGAACGTTTAATTTCGAGAAATTCAGGATTCAATTGGCCCGCCCGTTCGCCGGACTTAACAGCCCCTGATTATTTCCTTTGGGGATATCTGAAAGGAAAAGTGTATATTAATAAACCCACAACCCTGCAGCAACTAAAAGATAATATTCGAGCAGAAGTAAGTGCTTTGGGGCCAGATATTCTGACTCGGGTAATGGAAAATGCTCTTGCAAGAGCTGCACTTTGCGAGGCTGAAAATGGCGGTCATTTGCGTGATGTAATCTTTCACACTTAAATTGTAAACAAACTCCAAACATTGCATTTTAGTTTTGTGTTAGGGAAAAAAATTAAAATTAAAATTTAAAAAAGTTATTAATTTTTCAAATCCCTTCGCGACTTTTGCCCCACCCTGTACTACGGCTTTTGATCTTGTTGACCATTACATACTCTTAGACCGATTAAGTGGATACGGATTTACTAAGCAAGCCTGCAAATTCTTTTTCGCTTATCTTTCAGGTCGCACACACCAGGTAAAACTCGGTAGGTAATGTGCTTTCCAGACCCTACTCAGCAACATCTGGCGTGCCTCAAGGAAGCACGGTTGGGCCCCTTCTCTTTCTAATTTTTATCAACACTTTGCCTAAATGTATTAAAAACTCATTTTGTTTAATATTTGCAGACGATTTTAAAATATTCAAGCAGATATCCTCATGGCTGACTGTATCAAACTACAAGAAGACATCAACTCGATATGTAACTGATTTGTTGATAACAAAATGTTTCTTAATCTTGAGAAGTGCTGAACTATAACATATGCTAGAAAAGCAAGCCCTCTTATCTTCAACTATTCCTTGTCCAACCACACCTTAAAGAGGTGCAAGGAGATTAAGGACCTGGGGGTTTACATGCAGTCCGATTTGAAATTTACAACACATTATGACTTTATTGCTAACAAAGCACTTAAAAAACTAGGATTTATCATATGGAACTCTACCAGTATGAACATTGCCACTCTAATTAAATTGTACAATGCCTTAGTAAGGCCTCACCTGGAGTATGCCTCAGTGATTTGGTCTCCACTGGCTGGTTGTCATAGTGAGCGTATTGAGCGCATACAAAAGAGATTTCTTAGATCCATTTATGTTAGAGACAAGAAAATCTATCCATATATGGTTTCTTATCGAAGTATGCTTGACTCGTATCAATTCCATAAGCTTACTTGTCGCAGGATACGGCGGTCTATTATTTTTATATACTACTTAATAAATAATATTAAATTTCATAAATGTAATCTTCTGAATTTTGTAGCTATTGTTGTTCCCAAGGTGATTCTTAGGTACAAGAGAGATACATTTTTTAATATTAAGTACCCTCTGGACAATCCCATGAGTCATATGTTAATGCTTTGCAATGAGCTATTTAAAAACTGATATTGACTTTTTTAATACAGACGTGAATTCACTTAAAAACTAAAAACTTATTGTCATTAACAGATCTCACTAGGTCTTAGTCTAAGCAGCTATTGGTGGTTGTTTATTGTTTTATTATTTTATATTGTTTTGCCTGTGATGAATTTTATTGAAACTGATTTGTATATTAGTATCATAAATGTGATAACTTTTTTCTTTTTTTTATAGTGTTTTTTGACTAGTGTTAACACAAAAAATGACTTCAAGAGGGAAGGAAATACTGGATATTCTACGAAGGTAATCAGAAAACATCTCAGGTATGCCACGAAATACTCAAAAATACAAATAATGGTCTTTAGCTTAAAAAGTGAGGTTATGTAATCACTTAATTGTATAATTCATTGATTTTATCCATATTTCTAAATATGGCAGCTGTTCTTTTACATGCCATATATTGTTTCAGGTTCTAATGAGCCCTGAACCCCGGTTCCACGTACAAATATTGTAGAATCAGATGTAGAACCCTTGTCTTCCGACCATTCAGAATACTGTCCAAGTTCGTCAAGTGAAACATCTGAGGAGCAGTTACTTCCTGAAAACCTAACTACCAACAAAGAGGCGCAGCTTGATGGTATGGAAGAAACTACCACAAGGTCCGAAAAAACTAGAAAAAGGAAGAAGAATCCGAATCAATGGAAAATAAATATTTCAAAACGAAGAAGACAACATGGCGAATGTTACGTTTCCAGTAGAGGCAAATACGTTCCCGGAGTTTCCATGAAAGATCCGTGCACATCAAAGTGTAGGCGCAAATGCAGTGACAAAGTAACCAACGATGACAGACTCAAGATATTTCGGACATACTATCGTCTTGAATCATATGTACGGAAAAGGGATTTTATACACAGCAACACAGAGAAAATGAAAAAAAAATGTACTACTAAAGAAAATTCTAAGCGCCAAAGTACGATTACCTTTTTTTGCCTACCAGTCAAGGAAAGATACAGGTTTGTAAAACGATGTTTATAGATACACTGGGAATCCGACAAGGAGTGTTGATGATTGCACAAAATGGTGGTCATGGAATAATGAGTGAGATGAACCTTTGACAGAAGGCCGAAGGTTGTCAATGTCTGTGTTGAAAGATGGAACGAATTGTGGGCGTGTGCCAAAAGGCGGAAGCTTTAATTTTTCACCTAACTGGTCTAGACGACAATGACCACGTCTCAAGTTATATATATATATATATATATATATATATAGGTGAAAAATTAAAGCTTCCGCCTTTTGTTGGGTACTTCGACAAAATTTAAGCAAAGAGGACTCTTTATACTTTTTTTAATTCTCTCTAGCTTTCAATGGACTTTGCCATCATCATCAGGAGCTGCAATTACAATGATAACAGTAGCAACAAAAGTGTAAAATGAATTTAAATTGAATCAACTTACAGTAGTATGTGGGGATGTTGCTAATTGTTGTTTTCGTATAGGATGAGGGAAACGTCCAGTAACATGGTGAGAGCTGGATACATGGTACAATGGTTAAAATTATATAAAATATGACAAGACAAGTTAAAGACAGATTAAAAATTATTTAGAAAACATTAGAGCATTACGTCGTGAAGCCACTTGATGATTGCACAAAATGGTGGTCATGGAATAATGAGTGAGATGAACCTTTGACAGAAGGCCGAAGGTTGTCAATGTCTGTGTTGAAAGATGGAACGAATTGTGGGCGTGTGCCAAAAGGCGGAAGCTTTAATTTTTCACCTAACTGGTCTAGACGACAATGACCACGTCTCAAGTTATATATATATATATATATATATATATTATTGCTATTATTGCTATTATTACTATTATTATTATCATTATCATTATTATTATTATTATTATTATTTTAGAACAGCGAAAGGAATCGTAGTACCGGCAAGAAGTACCGGAGCTAAATGTAAATGTCGTTTAAAATGTTTTGAGTTGATTGGAGATGATAAAGTTCTGAAAGTTTCGAGAGACTTTAATGCAGAAGCAAGATATTTACTTGGCTGGGCTTATTACGCCTCAAAGTAACAGAACCGGATCTGGAAAAGAAAAAACTCATTCTTTTAACTATAAAGTGAGTGATAAAAATAAGTAATAAACCATCCTTACCATCATTCTTTCATTCTGACAGTTTGTCACAAGTAGTAGATTCAGCAGTTATTACTGAATGTTCCAAAGTACTCGTATATAATATACTAGTAAACGTAAGTCCTGATATAATATACATTGTCTTAGATTCGAGTTAATGGACAAGAATATCCAGTTTGCAAAAATGCGATGTGGGCTATACATGGTGTAACAAAATTTAGAATAGAAAACATTGTAAAATCTCTAAAATCGAACATTACTTCTAAACCAGACATGGAGGAAGACACCAAACCCGACCTAACAAGATCCCTGAAAACCTTGTTAATAAGTTTGGGTTCTCGTTTTTATGTTATGTCACATTAAGCACGTTTGTTATTACCTTCCCTATATACTGAAATAAAATGGTATCCTTTTCCATATTTCTAAACGAAATATTAAACTTTTTTAATTTCACAAAACTTTCTATAATGTGACTTACCTGGTTTTTGCAACGAGGTCTTTAATTATAATTAAGCCAAGAAAAACACAAACAATACAAGAAACAAGACAAGACCTCGAAAAAACATAAATATGTACAGCAAAGTTGAAAATTAATATGAACTCAATAAGTATTTAAATAATGGAAACATTCTGATAAAATCAGACCACGAAAATAGTTCTAAATTGAAACATGAGGTTACTGAAAAACTAAGCAAAAAATAAGAAATTATTGAAGAGACCTAGGATAGAAATTACCGGATATACCACTAACAAAATACCAAGCTAAGAGGAGATAAAACAAAATTTAATGTACCAGAACTTCAAAGAAGACCTACATATTTATGAAAATAAAACCAGGAACACCTACACGATTTACGCTAATGTAACTGGACCAGTCTACCACAACATTATAGAAGAAAATAGTGGTAAAATAGCTTGAGGTTTTCAAACATTACACGTATTCGACAACAATCATGTGACTCAATGTAAGAATTGTAATAAATTCAACCACTCTACATAAAAATGTAGAAAACATCAAACATGTGTAAAATGTGGAAAAGATCATAATAGCAATTTTTGTACATAACAAACTAAAATATGTCTAAATTGTGTGTATTCACATGGCCGCGGAAAAAAATTGTCCAGTATACAATACATACAGGACGTATAGTTAGTAGTGGATCAACGGAAGTCAGGTTATAGGGGGACTCAAAATATATCGAATGAACAACCCCTATATGTGTGGTCCGAAATTTTATAGTTTAGAAGATATTTGCAATTTTGTGAAATTTCAAAAAAAACGGGATAATGAACTTTCAATCGCAATTACAACTAAACCATTAGGTTTAGGGCTGTGATTTTTTTTCTGAGATGAGCTAAATGGTTAGTTTTAGCGATGGTTATGTCACTTTTTAACAGAGCTAATTAGAAATCAACGCAAAAAAAGTTAAATTCATTTTTATGTGAATAATCTCGTCCATCCCTCAACTTTGGGGGGCGGTAAAAAAAATTGAGGTTGTATTTCTTTATTCATTTTATTGTAAAAACTATTTCAATCGATGTAAAATAAACCCTGAAAATTTTAGGTTGCTACGATGAGTGTATCATGTCACATTCGTTGTTGTGATGCGATAAACGTAAGAAACGCAATATAATCCTTACCGCCTACAATTACAGAACCTATTGTGTTCAGCCGCTCTTTATGGCAGTTTACTGACAAAACTAACACATATTTATCTTTTCTTCATTGTTAGTCTACGATCCAAAATTAATGTACATATTACACTTATATAATTTTTTTTACTTTGAGTTCATTATAACTGCTATTTTTTATTATGTATGTTGTATTAGCATGATATCCACATGCAAGGATATGTTCTTTTTGTGCCATATGCATTTGTTCACATTGTGTAAATTGATGAGAATAAATTATGATTACGAGTATTATAATAACTGATTGGTTATTTTGGTACCGTTTTTCCTTTCTATGACGTATTGTAGATGCAAATTTGAAAAAAGATCGATTTTTTAGAGATCGATCTTTTAAATGGCGTATTTTTTGTGGATCGATTCATCTGGTTCCGATTCGAATTGATTCAAAAATCGATCTTTTTTGGAAGAATCGCTATCCCTAGTGATGATGACAGCCACATGCGCAGCATCTGCAATTCATTTTCTGCGCAGTGTACCAACTAACTTCAACGACATTTTTGGATGCACCCCCACTCCACGAGTTTAACCTCCTATCTCTAGTCATCATGATTCTACCATAAAAACAAATGTAAACGTACAAATCATTGTACTAGTACAATAAAATAACTAAAAAAGTATAGCGGGGCTGACGATGTTTTGAAGCAGCGGTGTTGCCAGGATTACGTTGTTCCAGCATGGAGCACTGATGTGGTGTGAGAAATGACTGTTGTATCTGTGAATATTTTTTCCTATTAACCTTGGTTTAGGATCTCAAAAAAATCTCTACGTCAACTACCTCAGGATGAACCACCCGATCCAGATGTTCTGCAGCATTTTGCGTCATATGAGGCAATTCAAGTGCCATATTATGAAGTACTAATTAACTTCTAAGACTTATTACGTCCGCGACTGGAAGTCGGCTTTTTAACTATGTTTTGAACGACACTTTAGAATTCAACGAAATTTTGATAGCTTGGTAACTGGTTACGGCCTAATATAACAGTAACCGTTAAAAACAATAATCTTAATTGAATTGCGGACTAACCTCAAAACAACATTGCGATTTTTTGGACGACACTCTGTATGGCATTAACAGCTGTTCCCCACTACTTGCCATCCAATCCTCCCGACATGCCTGTTGGATGTTCTTCTGACCAAGCATCCTGGCCCCTACAGCACTGCTGTTGCCCCCCCTGGGCAAATCAGACCACGGTGCTTTTTCGGTCAGAACCCGCTGAAGCAGCAGAAACTCGCCCAGGCATTACGGACATGCCGACTGGGGGAGAGGCTTAGGTACTTCTTCTCTACCTTTCCTTTGAGAGATGTTTGCTTCGCTGACGCGGATGCGTCGGCTGTCTGTTGTTCGATGACCAAAATTATCCACGTCGGGATGGAGGAATACATGCCTCATACAGTGAAAGTGTCTAAACCAGGGTGCAACGGCTGGTTTAACAAATCGTGTGACTCTGCTCGCCAGCTGAAGATCAAGGCACACAGAACCTACTTACAAAACCCCACTGTAGAGAACAGACAAGCCGACGTTGAGTCCAGAAACAAATATAAAGCAGCGGTTCGCAATGCCAAAAACCAGCACAATATAAAAGTTAGGCACAGGGTAATGTCGCAGCGCAATGGCAGTCGGTCTTTCTGGACGCTGGCCAAGCAGATTGAAAAGAACTTCTCAGACAGTAAGCCTTCCACCACTTACGTGTCAGGATGGAACTATTGTATTCAACTCAAAGGCCAAGGCGGAAGTGCTAGCCAAGATCCACCATGGACGTCCCCCCCCCCCCCAACGTCAATTCAAAGAGTTCCCTACACTATGCGGGAGGTAACATTCAGGCATAAGACCGTAAGAGGGGTGCTATTGTCTCTCGACATCAACAAAGCTTCTGGTTCGGACCTGATTCCTGCCATTGCACTGAAGAGATGCGCAGCGGAGCTTGCTAGAGTTCTTTCGCGTCTCTTCCAGATATCTTATGAATCTGGCACCATCCCAAAAAACAAAAGGAAGACCGACCCTTACAACTATAGGCCTATAGCTCTGCTTACTGTTATAGGTAAGGTGATGGAGAGGTGGATAAATCGCGGGCTTCGGGACTACCTCAAACGTCACGGCTGTCATCACATCCTGTTTCGATGGATGGCCGAGTTCTGCCAAAGAGCCGTTCACTTCGGCTGGTCGGAGTCCAGATCACCGAGGACTTGATCTGGCATGAACACATCTCGTCAATAGCGGCAGCTGCTGGGAAAAAGCTAAGGTATTTGTTTAGGGCTAAGAAGTACTTTTATCCGCATGACCTTCTCACTCTATGCAAGGCTCAGATTAGGCCTAGCCTCGAGTATTACAGACACGTTTGGGGTGCTGCCACCCCGATCACATTATTTATGCGGGATGCTGTCCAGAGGAGGGCTGTAGGACTGATCGACGACTTTTCTTTAACAGACAGTCTCGAAACCCTTTCGCACCGGCGAGCCGTCAGCGATTAAGCTCTCCTCTACCGCAACATAAACGGGATTTGCTCCTCAGAGCTCTCTTGCATGATGCTCCCGCGCGATGTGCCTGCCAGACAGACCCGCCTGACTTTGGCCTCCCACACTAACCGTGTGGAACATCGTACATCCGGAATTGGCCGATACGACCGCTCCTTTGTCCCGAGGGTGTAGAGATTGTGGAACAATCAACAAGAGGAAGCTTTTCCAAGTTGTACTAACCTTCGGCAGTTCAAAAATCGGATTAACAAAATTTCTTTGGGATCCTCATAGCAGCCGCGGTGCCTCGGCATTTAGGCTTCTGCCTGCGCGGCTGCTTCGGTATAAACAAAAATCATAATATCTCAAAGAAAACGTCTCTGGAAAGTTTTAACTTTACTGTTTAACATTGGTATAATGGACCGTTTTTGGGCAAACTCTCTTGCTTCAATGCATTTTCATCAATATTGTATCCCTAGCAATCTAATGAGTCAAACAATGCCCGATCTAGTTACTAAGCTGTCCAAATCTCGTTCAAGTAAACAGTGTCGTTCAAAAATTATTTATGAAAACCCGATTTCTAGTCTCGCGATTTTGAGGGTTTGTATCTCCTAAGGGAGTCCAGTAGGACATTTTTATATAACAACCTGTGGCATTATTTTTTGTGTTCTACATACTAGAAACTGACATATTATCCTGGGATACCCCGTAGAGTTTGAGCATTAAAGGAAAACTCACCCATCGGGCGCCGAATCGTGTCCGCAGCTTTGGTCGTTCTCGAGTTTTTCCAAGAGCACTGCCCTTAGGTGGTCTTTCTTCTACTTTTCAGATCTGCTGTCGAGCCGTTTTCAATCCTATGCTCTAATTTCTCTTCGACTTTACTCATTCTAAAACGGTAATTGTGGAGTTTTATTACAGGGTGGCTAATTTACAGGATGCTTTTAAAAAAGTCCCCGTCCCCACATATTTTTTAAATGGGTTGATGAATGAATATTATATTTCAGTATGACAGTTGAAAAAGGAATGACGGTTAGGCCCCATCTCGAAGATTTTATGTAATAACAGAATGGAAGACCAGGTGATACCTTATTTTAAAACTCCTTATGATTACAATAGAATAGAATTTAAAGTCGTTATCTTTCAAAACCGCTCAACTTTGACAGTCCGTCATGCTGGAAGATAATAAGTTTATATTTTAGTATCATAATTTGCTCATAAGGAGCTTCAAAATTAGTATCACCATGACCCTATTCTATTTCACAAAAAGTTGAAAAATTCCGCCTAATTGCCATAATTAAATTTTCATCTGACACTATTACGTTTTGTCATTTTATCACACCAAACTACAGCTTTTTAGCATGTCCCGTTCAAAAAAAATTAAGGGAAACCTTTTTAAAAAGTGTTGCATTTCCCTGGTATCTCTCGAATGAAATGAAACAGACCCAAAGCAAAATCAGACCCACCTATTCATGCTAAATCAGATATGGCATCTTCATCATATTCAGATTTGATCTCGAACTCTTTCTTCAGCACCATAGTGTCCATATTTTCAAACTTCGTGTTGTCCACAGTTGGTGATGTTTCTTGTTTTTCGGATTTTACCTCTGCTAACAACTGATTTTCCTGCTTAACTCCATCCCAGTGTTCATTTTTGACACTGAAATAAACAAGTTATATCTTCAGACAATCATTAACATATTCCACCAGAAGATACCCGATTGAAATGATAGCATGTCTCTATTAAAACTAAATGTTTATCAAATGTGGCGTTCCACAGGGAACCGTTTTAGGTCCACTGATTTTTAACATAAACTTAAATCATATATTTCATATTGACTATGGTGACAGCAGTTTTTTTATAAAGGTGATAATTGGTTTAATTTGAAAAGTATAGTTGAAAATAATTTTGGCAAAATTATCCAGGGGCTCAATAACAAAAAATTGAGCATTAATCACTCTAAAACACATTTTTTACTATGGGGTTGTCCAAAACGGACGCAGGCAAGTAAACGCATATTAAAACAAGATTGATCTTCAAATCACGTTGGGTACTTTTTTTTGAAGGTTCATTTATACCATTTATGTATGAAAAGTAATATCGCTCAAATGTTCAGCACGACTGGATTTACAGACGTCCACGCGGTGGTCGAAATTTTCAATGACATTTTGCAACATGGTCGGTTCTATAGCATTTATCTCGGCAATGATGTTGTTTTTGAGTTCTTGGAGGGTGGCTGGTTTGTTGACGTAGACTTTGCTTTTCAAATATCCCCATAAAAAGAAGTCCAAGGGAGTCAAATCGCACGATCTTGGTGGCCATGGCACATTTCCTCTGCGCGAAATCACGCGATCACCGAAAAAGGACTGCAATCGATGGATATTGACGTTGGTTGTGTGGCATGATGGATATTGACGTTGGTTGTGTGGCATGTTGCACCGTCTTGTTGGAAATAAACATCGTCCACATCCATTCCTTCAAGTTGCGGCAAAAAATAGTCCTCTATCATCACGTGATATCGCTCAGAATTGACGGTAACGGCGTACCCGGCCGCATTTTCGAAAAAGTAAGGTCCGATGATGCCTTTTGACCACAATGCACACCACACAGTCACTTTTTGAGGATGCATCGGCTGCCCTTGATACTCACGAGGATTTTCGTTCGCCCAGATGCGGCAGTTTTGCTTGTTTACCGTCCCATTCAAAGTGAAATGCGCTTCGTCGCTGAACATGATTTTTGATGAAACATTGGCATCAATTTGGCGGTGTTCAAGGAGCCAATCTGAGAACGTTCGGCGCGAAAAATGGTCGGCCCGACGCAGCTCTCGCGTCAATTGGGTCTTGTAGGCGTGTACATTCAAATCCTTGTGGAGAATGCGGAGCAAACTGGTTCTCGAAGAGCCTGGCAGATTTGCCACAGAACCTGTTGCCTCGAATTTACGCACCAGACGACCGATGGTTGTTTCGTTTGGGCGGTTGTTGCGACCGAAATGTTCACGAAGCGCGCGAAACGTGTTTGGCGTCTATGTCAAATTGACGTTTACTTTCCTGCGTCTCTATTGGACAACCCTTTATTTTCGTCCTATTCCAGACATCTACCAAATTACACAAATATCTCATTTATCGTAAATAATGATAAATTAGAAATTAACAGAGCATCAGGTATAAAATACATTGGAATATTCGAAAAACATGCGTTCTTTCTGTCGAGCCCTCTATGTTGGAGAAGATTATTCGCACTTCGAGATGAAGTAATTCAGTTTTTGGAAATCTAAAAACAAAGTGAATGGTACGTGATATTCAAAATACCTCAGGTCCAAGTTGTATATGCTTATCAATCAAACATATTTGATTCGTTGAACTTATTAATAATATATTTGACACCTCTGGATATGGCAAAATTTAAAATGCAATCATTCATGCTTTCCTAAATTCTTACCAATAATCGATGACGAGTGTATGAAGATAGTTTTTTATGGAACTGGTATCAAGATCGCAATATCAAATCGCCTGCACCATCTTACTGACGAATTCAAGTGTTACTTTTCTAACTCGTACATTTTTTATCGTTTGGTAACAGATCGATTTCAAGTCGAAATAGATACGCTTCCAGAAACACTGCAGAAGCAAACTTTGGAAATGAAAACTGATTCTGATAAGCCCTTGTTTTCGGTAAAATATTTCGAAATTTACCCCAGCATACGAGGGATGTCTTTTAAGTTTTGCATATGGAAATAAAACAACACGGTAGGTAGTTTTAAATGACTTTATTGTTTTTCTAAGTATTCTCCACGAAGATTAATACACATCTGCACGCGCTCGAACCAATTTTCGAAGCACTTGTTCCACTCGTTTGCTGCCAGATCCAAAACGGCATTTTTGAATGCGTCAACTGTGTCTTCTGGTGACTGGAACCTTTGACCACGCAGTCTGTTTTTAATTTTCGGAAAAGTAAAGAAATCGTTAGGACTTAGATCGGGACTATATGGAGGATGGTCCAATAATTCCACGTTTTCTTCTGTTAAATACTGCCTTGTTTTTTGGGCTGTGTGGGAGCTTGCATTGTTTTGGTAGAGGATGATTCTTCTTTCGGGGTTGATTTTTCGAAGCTCGGTGATGACTGTCGGCAAACAAATGGTGGTATACCAATCCGCAGTAACAGTTCTTTGCTCATTCAGAGGAATTGTTGCAATATGACCCGCTTTTGACACAAATGTCGCGACCATCTTTTTCGAAACACTTCGAGAACGGATTAATTTTGTTGGCTTTTCTTCACCTTGGAACAACCAAACAGCCAACTGTCGTTTATTTTCTGGTTCATAACAGTAAATCCACGATTCATCACCACCAACAATGCTGTACACATTTTTTGAGTTACCGGAACTGAAAAGGTTTTTTGACACCAATTAACCCTGGCTGCTTTCTGCTCTTCAGTCAACAGGTGGGGTATCCAACGAGAAACTAATTTTCTTACTCCTAATTCTTCATGTAAATTTATTGAATTGAGGTCTTTGAGATCTTCAAGGACGCCTCAATCTCGCGATATGTCACCTATCTTCAATGATGAGTTTGTGATGTTTTTAACAGAGTTTACACACTTTTCACAGTTCAACCCGAACTTAAACGCAACTTAAAGCGAGATTAGCGAGATGAAAGAAAACACTTGTTCACGCTTATGATGGTATATTGCAACTACTCTGACATTACAGAGTGACATGCACATAGTGGACAAACACAGTAGTAACGACATATGACACTAGATGTCGCTACCTTGACCAATTTTAAATATATAACAGCTACAGTAAACTTTTGGTATACTTATTCACAACACTCCCACTTAACAAAAGTTTACTAATGGTTCTCTAAAACCTTTTAAAATATCTGTCATGCACAACTTAACTTAAACCTAAACCCTTTACAAACTTTGAATTCTTAACATTTTGTAATGGTTTCGTTAAAACATCTGCAACCATTTCGTTAGTAGGTGTATACATTAATTTCACTTTACCTTCTAACACAATATCTCGCAAGAAATGGTACCTTATATCTATGTGCTTTGACCTATCATGGAACATTGGATTGCTAGCAAGCTTCTGAGCACTTTGATTATCATTATGAATCTCAATACAATCCAATTTTCCAGTTAACTCGCTCAACAAATTCCTCAGATATATGGCCTCTTTTGCTGCCTCGCTTAGAGCCATATACTCTGCCTCAGTTGTCGACAAAGCAACAGTACGTTGTTTACAGCTTTTCCATGAAACTGAACCCCCTGAATATTTAAATACATAACCAGTAAATGACTTTCTGTCTTGCTTATTGGACCCCCAATCTGCATCTGCAAAACCTGTCAAATTTAAATTATCCTTAAAAAATTTCATAGACAAGCTCTTTGTACCCTTTAAATAACGAAGTAAACGCTTTGCAGATTGCCAATGAACTTTAGTGTATGAGTTATTATACTGACTTAATAAGCTCACAGCATGAGAAATATCAGGTCTGGTCATTACCGAAAGGTACATTAAACTTCCAATAAGCTCTTGATATGGAACTTTTGGATCACAAATTTCACCACTGATATCGCTCAAGTTGATACTACTGTCAAGCGGAGTACTTACTACTTTGCTATCTGACATACCAAAACGACATAAAAGTTCATTAATATACAATTCTTGATCAATTGACAAACAATTTTTCGAATAATCCCTAGTAATTCTTATACCTAAACATTGTTTTGCCTCTCCTAAATTCTTAATTTTAAACTTTGAGTTTAAATGACCTTCAAGAAACTTCATTTCATTGTCATCAGACGAAAAACAGAAAAAATCGTCAACATAGAGAGCAACAATGGTTAACAAATTACTGTTATTCCTTTTAATGTACAAACAAGGCTCATATTTGGACTTAGAATAACCAATTTTTGACAAAACTTGGTCGACTTTTTCGTTCCAAGCACGACTAGATTGTTTTAATCCATAAACTGCTTTCTTCAATCTATACACTTTATTTTCTTTATCTTTAATGACAAAACCTTCAGGTTGCTGCATAAATACATTTTCTTTCAGAATACCATTCAAGAAAGCTGTTTTCACATCCAAGTGTAAAATTTTTAGATCTAGCCTAACAGACAAAGCAAGCAATAAACGAAAAGTTGAGTGCCTTACCACTGGGGCGAAGGTTTCAACATAGTCCACACCCTCTCTCTGTGTGAAACCTTTAGCCACAAGCCTAGCTCTATACCGGTTATGGCTTTCATTATCACTCTTCACTTTATATACCCACTTGCACTGCACCACTGTACCAACTTCTGGCGGATCTACTAATTCCCAAGTGTCATTATCGATAAATGACTGTATTTCTTCTGACATAGCTTCTTTCCACTTCTGCCCATCTGGCCTTGAAAGAGCCTCAGTCACTGATGTAGGGATACTCGAGTCATAGACTTCACCCTTGCTGTTAACACCTCCAAAATATGTCACAAAATCTTGAAAATTCTTCTTCTTGATCTGTCTTTGGGATCTTCTTGGAGTTACTTGTTCACCATTATCAAACAAGTCATGGCACTGACCTTCAGGCACATATTCATCATCATCCGAGAAGTATACATCATCTTCAGAAGATTCATCATCTGAATACATGGGATTCTGCTCTCCCACTGAATCTGGAACTTCCCTTTGCTTATCTGGAACACTATCCGGCAACACTGTACTTGGAATTTCCAAACTTGGTTTCTCTATGATTGTTACATCACGGCTTACTATGACTTTCCTTGTTCTGGGGTTAAAACACCTATATCCTTTGGTAGTTTCATCGTACCCAACAAGCACATGCTTCACTGACTTCTCGTCCCACTTGTTCCTACTGACCTTCGGAACATGAACCATGGCGGTACTCCCATATACCCTAAGATGACTAAGATTTGGTTTCTTACCTGTCCAAATCTCATATGGTGTCATTGAAAGCTTTGAACATGCTGAACGGTTTTTCAGGTAACAAGCAGTATTACACGCTTCCGCCCATAATGCCTTGGTCAAGCTCTCATCAAATAAAAGACACTTAGCCTTCTCCACAATGGTCCGGTTGAACCTCTCAGCCATCCCATTTTGCTGCGGAGTGTGACTGCTCGAAGTCTGGTGTATGATGCCTGAATTCTTTAAAAAACTATCCATTTCTCTATTACAGAATTCCCCACCATTATCGCTTCGCAAAATCTTAATCTTAACATTCTGTTGATTCTCAACTAATGATTTAAATTGCTTAAACTTATCAAAAGTTTCATCTTTTGTCTTCAGGAAATATATAAAGCACATTCTGCTGTAATCATCTATAAATGTCAGGAAATATTTAGCTCCACCAATAGATGTTGTTTCCATAGGACCACAAATGTCGCTATGAATGACCTCTAGCAGTTGCTGTGCTCGACTGCCTTCTTTGGGAAAAGGTAAACGGGCTTGCTTGCCCCTACAGCATACCTCACAACTCCCAATGCTTGTACCATTACAGATAAGACCATCAACCAACTTGGCTGTCTTATTCAGGTAGCTGTCATTAATGTGACCTAAACGTTGATGCCATAAATTGCTACTTACAGCTTGAAAACACACTGGCTCCTCACAAACGTTCAACTTGTAAACGTTGTTATGTAGACTAGCAGTAGCTACTGATACACCAACTTTATTGTAAATATTGCATCCCTCTTCATGAAAACTTACTCTATTTCCATTATTGATTAACTGGCCTACTGATAATAAGTTAGTTGTTAAACCAGGAATATACTGTACACCTTCTAGTAAAATCTTGTGCTGTTCATTGGTCATTGTTTTGATCTCAACATCACCTGCACATTCCACAACAACTTTCGATTTGTTAGCCATTACAATATCAGGTAAGTCAGGCTTTCTCCTGTTTTTTAACCACTGGCTATTGGCAGTTAAATGCTTGCTGGCACCACTATCAACATACCAATCTGTGACCTTAAAATCACCTGTTGTAAACACGGCACTAAATCCTCCTTCAAGTCTGTTATTGTTAGGGCATTTTGACATAAAATGTCCTGTCTTTTTGCACTTGTAACACACAATATTACTCAGATCCCTTTTATTATGTCCATTTCCAAAACCACTGTTTGAACTTGACCTCGATTGAACCCCGAAATCATCTGTGTTTGTTGACATTCCCGCTTGGCTAGCACCAGCTGATTTTCCTTTGAAATTCGTCCTACTAGCGCCACCTCGCGACTGTTTCCGAAAACTCGGTTTCTTGGCGGAGAATGCACCTGCATTTCCATTACCACTAGCGCCATCTGTCTGCATATCCAATAACTTGGTCTTTATTGAATCTGTGGTTATGCAGATTCCTGAGTGCTCGACGGCCATGATCATTGGTGCGTACTTGTCTGGAAGACCGGCCAGCAGCAATGATCCTACCCACTCCTCGTCTATTTTGAAACCTGTTCTGCGTAACTTTTGGGAAGTCTCAACAATCTGGTTTATGTACGACTCCATACTATCATGATTCTCTAATCTTGCCGATATGAGTGTACGTAAAAGTCCAATCTTTCGCATGAAACCACTGTCATCATATAAACGTTTGAGACTGGTCCATACTTCTTGTGCAGTCGTTAAATCTTTGACATGCGGGAACAAAGATGGATCGATGGTTAATACTAGCTTGGCCTTTGCTTTTGCTAGGGTCGTTGTGTCGGTCTCGGTACCTTCGATGCATTTGTTTAAGCCCTCTAGCACAAACACATTCTCGACGGCAAACGCCCATTCATCATAATTCTCACGGCCTAAAAGCCTTGGCACACTCGTCAGGTAGTTGACGGCCATATTTGTTCTGTGAGAAACACTTGCGTCACGACAGTTTCTTTCAACGTCTCGATTCACTAAAGTTTCGCTGCTGGGTGTCCTACTGTGGGTCTGGGCCCATAACCTGATGTTTTTAACAGAGTTTACACACTTTTCACAGTTCAACCCGAACTTAAACGCAACTTAAAGCGAGATTAGCGAGATGAAAGAAAACACTTGTTCACGCTTATGATGGTATATTGCAACTACTCTGACATTACAGAGTGACATGCACATAGTGGACAAACACAGTAGTAACGACATATGACACTAGATGTCGCTACCTTGACCAATTTTAAATATATAACAGCTACAGTAAACTTTTGGTATACTTATTCACAACAGTTTGCGCACAGCATCGACGTTTTCCTGGATGACTGCCGTTTTTGGTGCACCCACCCTGGAATCGTCGCTAAGACTCACCCGTCCACGTTTGAATTCTCGATACCAACGGGAAATTGTCGACTGATGTGGCGCTTCGTTGCCGAACAGACAAGGCATTCTTGCTGCTATAATTGTATCTGAAAGTTGTAATAAATTATGGCGCGAAAATGTACTCGGTTGAGTTCCATTTTTCTAATGACTTGGTAACACTTAAAAATTCACTGTAGTGAGAACACTGCACGTATTGTTGTGAAACCTTGATTTTAAGTTCACTAAAGAGTGAGGTTAAGATTCAGTACTGACGTTCGATCCGCGCGGCCTACTATGTTTCTATATGCAAAAGTTAAAAGACATCCCTCGTAACAGAGAAGACACTGGAACTATTAAAGCACTTTTCTGAGTGGAACTGCTTGTTTATAAAAAATAAGGAAGCAAACTCGATATTGCTAGTGATCTCTTCGGTGCAGTTTCTTTAGTTCAGCCCGGGATTGACAGTATTAAAAAGCTCACCCATCACAATGGATCAACGAAATTCCGCATGTCTTTCATATATTTACGTAAAATCACTTTTTTGTAATAAATCATTTATTTGAATATTGCTATAAGAAAAGTTTGAGGGATTTTTTACATTCAATCGTCAACTATTATATTATGTTTCTCACCTCTGAAACGTTGAATATGTTGCGGTGGAACCCATTTTACTGTGGCTATCTGGTTCCTCTGCAGAACTTATATCAAATGAATGTTCAGTCTTTATCTCTACGACATCAGCATCTGGCTCTTCACTCTTCTCCAAGCTACTCTGATGTATAGTTGTTTCAAAGTCATCATTTTCCTGTTTGATTTCAGTTTCATGAATGTTGATGTGACAACTGAAATCATGTAGAAAAATGTTTATTGAGTTGAGGAGTAATCTAAGATACAGCTGCTAAAAGATAGCAACTTCTTGAGGATATGTCCATGTTTAATGTTTTTAAAGTACTCGTAGAAAATGGATCACCGTAAAATTCATGTCAGATTCGTAATCTATGTATATGATTTATCTAGGAGAATGTTTTCAGCAAGGTTCCAGTTATGTGGAGGTTTTTAAAATCTTTATTGGAAACATCAAGTATTATAGGTTTTGAAGGTCAAAATTTAAATGTTGTTACCCGTAAAACTCAAGTAATTTGGGGCATTGATTTCAATATGACGATTAAAATATGCTAACGTGTGTATGGTCTTAGAGTAGGAAAATTGGACAAAAGAAGGTATCATGTTTTTGATATGTAAAATCCATTCACCAAAAGGCGGGCTTGGGTTGGGATTGCAAATAGACGATCCTTCGATAGTAAAACTTTCAAGTTTCTCAATGCAAAATATCATTTTCGTCTTCCATATGAATATGAACGCTGGCGTTTGAGATATAAAATTCAAATATTATCGAAAAAAGTCAATGACCCCATGCAGGTCCTAGCGTCAAATTGGTGTCAGATTCGAAATACGTACCGAGCAAAAGTAGAGAAACAAACCACATTACAAATAAAAATCCAGAAAGATTTACTCTAACCCAAAACTGTACACCAAAGTTTTTTATGTATGACTACCTCAAGATAATGAAATGCTTGTCTTTGTATACATTCTTCTTTTTAATATAATATGGTAGTTTTTTTGTTCAACGAGCAAAAGCAGAGAAACATTTATATTTCGTCTTTGATTAGAATAGGTGTTATGTTTGAGTGTATTTGGTAAAGTGTAGTTCAAAAACATGGTCAGAGGAATAACATTGAATTTGCAAATAAAAGCATTGAATATTTTAAAATATCGATCAGGAATTAAACAAGCAACCATACCTTAATTTAAGCCGATCGATAATTTGCAAAACTATTTAGCTGTTCTGCCTCAGAAAATCGTTGGTAAGCCCTCTTAAGACTGGTAGACCACGAAAATCCACACCTAGGATTGATAGGAAAATTAAAACACTTGCTATTAAAAATCCATTTACTACTGCTGTCGACATAAAAGCTCAACTTGAAGAAGTAAATATTGGTTCGAAGACAGCAAGGGGACCATCTAAAAAATCCTTTATGTCCAAGAAAAATCGTACCACCCGTCTTCAATTTGTTTACGATCATTTGAACTGGTCAGAAACAAGGTAGAATTATGTATTATTTTCTGATGAAAGTAAATTTAATTTATTTTCACCGGATGGCATTTTATGGGTCAGACGTCCTAAAAACAAGCGATTTGATCCTAAGTTCACTTTGGGCACAATCGAACACGGAGGCGGGAAGGTTCAAGTATGGGGTTGCTTCTGTGGACTTCAAATAGGACCCATCGTCAAAATTGAAGGAATTATGGACCGGTACAAATACTTGGAAATACTAACTGATACCATGCTACCTTATGCAGAAGAAAACATGCCCCTATGCTGGCGGTTCCAGCATGACAACGACCTCAAGCACACAGCGAAAATAATAAAAACATTTTTTGCAGTTCACAATATTAATGTCATTAAGTGGCCAGCTCAAAGTCCAGACCTTAACCCCATAGAGAACCTATGGGATTTAGTTGATAAAAAAATTCGGACTGAAGATCCAGAAAAGTTAAAAAATAGTGCCGACTATTTGAGACAATCGAAGTCGCCTGGAGTTCTATTCCAAAAGAAACAATAAGTAGCCTAATTGGTTCTATGAGAAAAAGATGTATAGCAGTTATCAAAAATAAAGGTTATGCAACCAAGTGTTAGCTTCTTTGTATACGACAACTGCTTTGTATATTATGTTTCTCTATTTTTGCTCTCTGTAGTTTCTTAATGATAATTGTTAGCATAGTTTTATTAAAGAAGAAATTTTATTTTCATGTTGGCTTTGAATTACATGTTACATTAAGTTATAATAAAACATAAGTGTTTTGCTTACTTTAATAGTTTAATGAAATCTTTAAAAAAATAAAATGTTTCTTTACTTTTGCTCGGTTACTATATATGCACCACATTTTCCTGGGAAAAGATCACAAATCTGCAGGTTTCCTTTTTGAAAATTTTCCCATAAGAAAAAAAAATAAAAACACTACAATGCCGAGGAAAATTTATATTTACATTGTAATGGGTGACTCATTTAGACCTTTTTTATCACATTCATCGTGACTGGTCTCATCCTGGCATACTAGTTTTATTCAGTATTGCTTGATATTTTTCGTGCACTTCGAGCAACGTATGGTGTGCATCATCGAACTTGCTTGACCACTATTGCCAATACCATCCAAAAATTTGGGGGTCGGTGTACGTTACTGGATGATACGTGAGCGAATAGATCACATCCAGCCAGTAATGAGGAGAGCGGAGAGTGTGACTGAAGACAGTCAGCAATCAATTCGACGCCGATCTCAACATTTGGGTCTATCGTATACGACAACTTGGCAAAGTTTACAAAGGGATCTTGGGTGAAGGCTTACAAAATCCAACTCATTCAAGAATTGAACCACAAGTCTGGAATGTATTTTTTTCGTCGAATTTTGTTTAGTGAAGAAGGACATTTTTGGCTGAATGGATATGTGAATAAACAAAATTGGCGTATTTGGGCTGATGAGCAACCCGAAGAGGCTCTCGAACTACCGTTGAAGCCACAAAAATGCAGTATTTGGCGTGGTTTATGGGCCGGTGGAATCATCGGTCCCTATTTTTTTAAAAACGAGGTCGGACAGAACGTAACCATCAATGGTGAACGTTATCGCACTCCTGAAATTGTAGCCCGCAATGTTGGCGATATTTGGTTTCAGCAAGATGGAGCTACAGCACACACAGCACCCGAAACAATAGCTTTATTGAGAAATCATTTTGGTGAGCAGATAATTTCGCGTTTTGGCCGGCCACCTAGATCGTGTGATGTCACACCCTCGGACTTTTTTCATTGGGGTTATGTTAAATCAAAAGTCTTCGTCAAGAAGCCAACATTACTTGCGTAATTCGGCAGATACCTGTCGCAATGCAATAAGGAGTGATCGACAATTGAACTTTCTGAATGGACCATTTACTGCCAGCATTTAAATGGAATTATAAAAAAAATGTTAAAGATTGCTATTTCAGATCATAATACAGATTCCGCCATCCAATCCCATTTTATGGGTGTTATTTGGAATTAAAAAAAAGATCTACATGAATCACCCCATACAAGTTAGTATCATGTCTTTATCTGACTTGGGGATCATCCTGATTTGCATCTCCATCATGTTCTACACCCTATTTCACGAGAATCCATCACGTTTTGACGTCTAGTGAGGTGAACAGCTGATCAGCAAGTGACATATTTGTATTAGTTTGTGACATTGGCAATAAATGACTGATTCAATCAGAGATCTAGGCGTTTGCTTTGACAGTCAGTTAACATTCAACTCACCCATTAATCTAATTGTTATGAATGCTTTTCAATCATATGGTTTTATCATAAGGAACTGTAAGCGTTTTACTATTATGTCGGCACTAGCTTTACTCTATTCAAGTCTCGTCAGGTCGAATTTAGAATACTGTCGGCTAATATGGAACCCAATTTAAAACATTTATAAAACATGTATCGAAAAGGTTCAAAACAATCTCTAAGGTACTTATCTTTCAAGCTTGATGGGGGTATATCCACAAAGAGGTAGTGATTATGTAATGTTTGTGAATAGATTTAATTTTCAAACTTTGGAGAGCCGTAGAGGTCAGGCATCTGTTTTATTTTGGGTGTTCCACAGGACAGTATCCTGGGACCACTTCTTTTTATTTTATACATAAATGATTTACCTGCTATAGCCAAAAAATGCAAAATTCAGATTTTCGCCGATGACACTATGATTTATATAAGTACTAAAAATATTCAGACTGGTATCTCTTATATAAATGAAGACTTGAAACTTGTCTCAAAATGGTTAGCATCTAACAGACTAAAATTAAATACAAGTAAAACGAAAGCTATGTTAATCGAAAAAAAAACAATGTACAAATGTTCAACTGAATATTGATGGTGAAGATATTGCATTCATAGAAAATTTTAAATACCTGGGGGTTTTTGTTGACTCTCGATTAATTTTTGATATTCATTATAAAAAGTTATAAATAAGATTAGTAGTAAAGTGGGATATTTATCAAGAGTTTCTGGATGTCTGAGTTCATATAGCAGAAAAATTATCTATAATAGCATCATTCTTCCAAATTTCTTGGACTGCTCGACTATTCTATATTCAGCAAATAATTCCATTTTTGGAAGACTGAAAATTTTACAAAATAAGTGCATGAGAATAATACTGAATAAAGATATACTCCAATTAGACAAATGCTTAGCAAATTAAAATGGCTCAATGTAAAAAAATTGATCAAATATCTTGTAATGATATTCATTTATAAAGTAAAAAATAATATATTGCCATCAAGTCTAACTAATTTAACATCATCAAATGTTCACTATTATTTACATAATACCAGAAATATAGATGACTTCCATTTAATGACCAAAAAGGATAATAATAATGAACGTCTTTTATTTGTCATATTCTTACAGGAGGCGAGATTTAGAGTATATATCTATTCTACCATCTAACCCCCTTAACAATACGAGATGTAAAAAGAAAGAATTTGTTGAAAATTAATTGGTACCTGTATACAATAACGACAGAATAAAGTATAATCCAAGTAAAGACATAAAGAAAATATGATGACACTTATGGGTTACAACAGATCAAGTAGAACTTCTTTCACTTATTTCTTGAATTTGGATAACGGATTGGTTTCTTTTAAGCTGAGGTATAAAGAATTATATGATTTGATCGCATTGTAAATGTATGTATTCTGAAATAGAGATGTGCTGTGGCGTGAAATTGAAAAAGTCTCTCTATATCTAATATTAATACCATGCATATTCCCTCTACATATGAATTTGTTTACTAAATATGACGTGTTATTGAATAAAGAACCTTATGAGTCAGATTTACGAGCTGGTATTTATACATTTTATCAATTTTCGTCCATTTGAGTTCATTAATGGCATTCGATATATGATCATATTTTCTGAGACCATTTACAAGTGTGCAACATGTATTCATAATACTTTGAATACGATTTCTTGTTATAATATCTAAATAGGTAGGGATAGTAAACCACTAAGCAATACGATATCTTTGAAAGCAAGAAAGATTCGCACAATTGCTTTCTCGCAGATTTATGTAATATATCCTTATTTGCAAATATGCTACAAATCTGCATTCCATCAAGGGTTGATTGAATATAACAAATTATACACAGAGATAAAAGACCAGAAAATTTAAAGTAAAATTGAGGAATCACTTGTTAAATCTACAATTGTAGGTTGCCCAGCATTTACATCATACATCATATGGCTTGAATTTACTAATTCTAAGTTGTTTACAATTATTCTGTTTATGTAGCCAAATGTGTTAAATAAATCTTTCTACTACACTACTACTACTATTTTTGCATAAACTACTACCTGGCAAAATTGACTCCATCGACCTGTTATCACAGCTAAACATCTCTGTACCAAGACGTAAAAGAGCTCAAAAAAATATGTTAATGAAAGCACCTATTAATGAAATGTGTGCAAGCGTGAACAAGCTGTCTAACGCCTGTGACATTTTCTGCTGCAGCCTTTCAGAAATAACAACTCAGTGTCGTGTCAATTTGTAGTTTTCTAAAGTTAGTTTTACGTAAACTTTGTACATGGATTGTTTTTTATTACTCATTGCTCTTTAAATGGTGTATACAGCCATATATGGTTTATTATTATTATTATAAATTGGGTGTAAATTTAGACAAAAAAATTGTATGCAAATAAATAAAAGAGTTTTTACAAGTACAAAATGAGCGTACAAAAAACCAAAATAAAATACTACCTGGCTTTGGCGGATCCCTCAGAATTATGCGTCATTTGTCGATATGGGGAATTTTGAAATATTTCTAGATGATCAGGTTCAGGAATGATTCTACCGAGACAGTTACTCATGGAAAAGACAATAAATTGACTACGATAAGATTAACCAAAATATAGCATAAGACTGTGCAAAATGGGTAGACTAGGACCTGTATGTACACATACATATAGCATCTTGCAGATCAATGAAAAGATTAATGGAACCAGCAATGGGCCCATGAAATACTTATTATCATCTGCTGCTAGTACATAGTCAAGATAAGCTTCCTTGGATTTTATGCAAGGCTAATTATCGGGTTCCAAATCATTTTTTGGTTGCATGGTAATGCTTGACTGCTTACTCAATATACAGTAATGGACACAAGTATATAGACCAATTAATATTGTGCTGTATTTCTTTTTTAACTTGTTTTATTAATACACCAACCTGTATTCATAATTCGTTATAGCATAATACTCACTTATACATAAATAAATTCATTAGACTCCCTTCAATAAAAAATTAATTGAAAAAAACTGGAACTATGAAGGACAAAAATATATAGACAAAGCAAAACTATTATAGAAAAAAAGAAGCAAAGTTCATTGAATTATAGAAAACCAACCATGTTTGTGTTAATATTTTCTAGCATAACCATTATTATCAATCACCGCCTGGCATCGTATCGGCATAGATTGTAGAAGCTTCTTGATATAAGATTCATCAATCTGTCTCCACTTTTGCTCTAAAGCGGCAAAAAGTTCATCGTTGTTTGAATAATTTTTATCTCGTATTTGCTTATCTAAGTATTCCCATAGATTTTCAATGGGGTTTATATCGGGAGACTGTGAAGGCCATCTGAGAACTGTTATTTTTTCATCCAGAAAGAATTTCTTTGCGAGATTTGAAGTGTCATTATCTTGCTGGAAGATTGATCTTAAGGGCATATTGTCTTCCATATAGGGTAACATGACATGCTTTAGTATGTCTGTGTATACAAACTTATCCATAATGCCATCTATTCTGTGTAAAGGTCTCATCCCAAACCACCAAAAGCACCCCCAAACTATAACAGACCCGCCCCCATGTTTGACAGTGGGCGAAGTGTACTTGGGGTTCAATCTTTGTCCACTAGGACGTCTAACGTAATCTAATACAAACATATTTAACTTGGTTTCGTCACTGAAACATACAGTCTTCCAGTCACAGATGCTCCAATCAAGATGCAACCGTTTAAATTGTAATCGGTCCTTACGGTTTTTCCTCGAGATTAGCGGCTTATTACTCGGGCGACGTGCAAATAACTTCATTTAATCTTATACTTATAGTTTTCGTAGAAACACTGACAATTCCTTTTGTCTCGATTTCGGCTTTTATTTGTCTTGGGGTTTTAAACGGATCTTTGGACGAAAATACTTTTATTAATTTAACTGATCTAGCATTTAGTTTTCTAGGACGATCACTTCTCTTAGAGGCTTCTAAGATACATTTTTGTTCATATTTGTTCAATATTCCCCAAACAGCTTTACGCTTCAGCTTCAAATTTTTGGCAATGTCGACTTCACGTTGACCATCTTTGTATAACTCAATTATCTTAGTATTCACATCGAAAGAAATTTCTGGACCACGCGGCATGATCCTAAAATCACTCAACTTATTCCACAATACTTGATGAACACAAACTAATCCTCTTCTGATACGAAACTGTACTAAACTAATGTTGAAAAGAATTTGTCTACATATTTTAGTCCCTCATAAAAAAGTGCTTATATTCAGACTTGTATTGTGTTCATTGCAGATAATGTGAAAACAAGGAATTTAGTTTTTCTACTAATAACGCATTTGTTTATGGAGCAATCAAGTATGAATTCGTTTTCTAAAGGTATTTAGGTAAATATTCATATTTGTCTATATACTTTTGTCCATTACTGTAGATTGATCTTCCAAATACATTGAAATAAGTGGTACTAAAGGACTAAAATAATTCTCTCAATATAATAATTTACCCAAAAATCTCATCTCAAAAACTCGCCGAGTTGTTAGTAAATCAAAAAATTACATCCGAAAATAACAAAAATAAACGACCACTCACTAACTCAACCACCAGCGGAAAGCAGTAGAGATACTAGTGATATCTGTTGGAAAAAAATAGAAGTAGCTACGTGTTATACGGATTTAAATATTCAGTTTATTTCCCCAAATCATTCCCAGTTGTCATTAAGCCAATAGCATTTGTGACATCTACCGGGAATATATTTAATTGTAGTAATGATTTAAGTATCCTTACCTTTTTTTGGGCGTGTAAGTCTTCATTCCTGGGGTGATGTTTACGCGTAATGGTTTAATCAAGCCATCACCTATAACAAATACAACAAAATAAAACCATGGAGCTTCGAATGTTATATATGGAAAAAAGACTTAGGAAAATTGAATCTAAGCCGCTAATTACATGGAGATTATATTTTATGTAGAGTACGTCGATGGTAAGGTGCGTATTTATGTTATTACGAAGGACGTTACCACAGTCACAGCACAGCATAGCTAACAAAAGGAAAAAAAGGTTATAGGCCCGTATCGTCAGTCGTCCCTACAATTGTAGGGCGCGTTTATGGCCTCCTTGATTTAGATAATATTACGTCTTCTTCGTTAACGTACATGTATGTCCTGCTTTAGATTTCCGACATACTGACAGTTCTGGCTTGAGGTTATGTTGTTGTTTTGATGTTCAAGACTCATGAATGGAACGCAGAACCATAATTTATAATTTTCTTGCAAATAATGTCGATCACTCAAAAATACCTCGCTACATTGAACAAATTCCACAACCTGTGGTATCTTCAAGAAATTGTTGAGTTAGGAAAATCAATGCACATGGATATATTATAATATTATATTTGTGTGTATGAAAGTCCAGAAGCTTACAACCAAGCTATTCTCTTGATGAAGGCTGGTAAGTTACAAAACATCACATTGCATATCCATATTATTTACTTATGGCATTATTTTCAGGTGTGATTCATTCTCACAGACTTTATGAGATGGTTCCTCCATGGATAAGTAACATTGTATGGCAAGTGCAATTATTGCATTGTCGATGTCAGCGATGCTTTTTCACAAATCATTGTGGGACTCTAGATTGTGTAGAGTGTCAGACACAAGAATGTATAATGTGTGTTTGTGAAGATCATAATTACTGTTATTGGCCATCGCTATTTCAGGGTGCTCAAAATGCCATGATCATGTAGGATTACCAAAAATGAAGTGTTACAGAGAGTAAACAGAAGAATAGAGTTGCAGCATGAAGCAAAATCAGAAAAACTTTATGACAATTCCATAATTAATTTACGAATGGGAAAATAAAAGAAAATTGTGACTCATCAAGGCAATTACCTTCCTGTTAAACAAACTCCAAACAATTCAAACAACTAGATAAGCGGAAGGGACCCATTATGCTAAAAATTGTAGTTACCTCAAAGTCAGACTGGGTTAAGCCCTAATAGGTAGTTTTAAGATCTGAGGTACAGAATTTGATTTGTATTTAAACTGCTGGGGATAAATTTTGGATTTAAACCACTATCAATAATGGAGCCTTCAGCTACTGAGCATACTTCAGTGGTATCATCAAAAACAAGATCAATGCACTGAGCCTCAAAGAACAATATGTTGTGTTTATCAAATGTGTTGCACCATATATTGATGTTGTAGAATGTGGTATATGAAGAAAAAGTGAGGACAGCTAAATACAGTTTCTTTTCCAATTTGTTCATTGACTAGGGAAAAGGGAAAATTTATTAAAACTGTGCCATAGGAAAGAAAAACATTTACTGTTTGAGAAAGAAATATCAAAAACTGAACAGGTTTGATATTTGAAAAACTCATATGAAGAGCAGATTTTGCTAGTTATGATAGTCACAGTATAAAAAAAATAAATCTCTGGCTCGAAAGTCTGCATTTATCACTTGAAGTATTGATAACTGCAATGTAGTTTGTTTGCTAATTGAATGTCCTAGGGGGGTGGTTTCAGGTTCATTTTAAGATGAAAACAGGGTGGTAAAAAAGGCCAAAAAAATAAATCCTTGATTATGAATATCCGAATTACCACTTAATGCAATTTGGCATACATGTAAACATGCCAAGAAGCATTCTTTTAATTTTACCTGCCTGTTTTGATAGACAGTGATGGTATGCTCTTTATTTCTATCTTATTAAAATTTACAATCACTTCGTAGCAAAAATCGATACGAAAGTGATATTACAGATCGTAACAAAAAAAAACGATTGATTTTTAAAAGCCTTACAACCCGCTTTCTCAAAAGTCAAGACGTTTAGGACATAGAATTATATGAAGTTTTCTTCTTAAAATAGAACCAAAAGTCGAAATCTTAAATATTGACATGCAGTTGGAAAACACCTTATATATTTTATGTAAGTAAATTTGAATTTATTAAAGGTTATTTTTTTTTTTTTTTTTATTTTATACTCCAACTACCACGAAGGCCTGAGGCCTAAGCACCCATTGGGTACCGTGGGGCTATGGGGGATATATGGGAAAGGGGGGGACGCCACACGGACTCTGGCGAGGGAACACGTGTGCATGCAACATGCACACATTCTGGCTCCGCCTACGAGAACCGCCGGGTGGTACCTCCGCGTTCGACAGTCACAGACCATCTACCACCTACGGACAATCACAACATCCATGGCCAAGAGAAACATTTCTCCTGGAGACATCGAACCCGCACAGCGCACGGCGACTGATCAGGAGACCGAAGAGTCTACTACTGCGGCCACCGCTGCTGCCTAATATACACTATTGTAGTTTTTCATTTTGGATATGTTTTTTTGACTATATATTTGTTCATATTTCCTGTTATTATTTGTACATTTTAGATATAAAGACTTCATTTGATTACTGATACTTATGTATTTTGACATACTATCTATGAATTCCTTAACAATTTCATGAATCATATTTTCCAGTTGGTACTTGCAGAATATAAAAGAATACTTGGTAAAATAAATACTTTTTATTCTACATTGTATACCCACAGAAATACAATAGGTTCATTCAAAAATATCTAGAAATATAGAAATTTAGATTTTTAATCCTTGATGTTAACTAGATTATATGCTATTTTCTAAATTACAAGCTATGTAAACAGGGCTAAAAGGATATCTGATCAATTGCAAAGAAATGTGTCTAGTTCGGGGGTACATTAGATCATTTTGGAAAGTTAATTAACTCTAGCTATTAAACTTCTTGAAATATCCAATTTAAATATTTTGGCTCTTCTTTTTTTCTCTCTAATAACGTTCCTTACACTAGAGTTATTGTCTTGGAACAATATCTTGTACCCTGGGCTTATCAGGATTGGATGTTCTTAGAGCAATGCAAGTAGATCTGAAAAAATAGTATTATAAGTATGATTTCTTATGCTTTACTCCTAAGTACCTTATATAACCATAAGTGTTAAAATATGCATTTCATATAGCATTTTTGCTAGATCACTGGATTCTTATTTAACCCATGGCATCAGCTTTGTGAGATTTTGTACAAATAGAAATCCATATTACAATATTCAAAAAGCTACTTCATCGAGTTTCGTGAGACATTTCCTCTCTCACATGCAACATTAACTATTACACATTTGAGAACCCCCTTCCCAGGCATAACAAAGCTCTTGAAATCAATAGCTTTTAACTTTTATGAATATACAGGCTTATGCCTACCTTTAAATTACAAATTGTAGTGTAACACATGTCAGTCACAAAAAGCAAATTCACTTATTTCAGTAAGGTTGGCTCCTTCAAACATGCTTTCAAGTGCCTGGAAGCATGAATCTTTATCCTTCCAAAACAGATATGGAGGTTTGTATGCAATATCACGATGGTTTATATCTGCAAAAAAGTTGCATAGATTCTTGACACATTAAAAATTTTACACCTTGGTGTGGACTACAATTTTATAATGATACAGCTGAAAAAAAAAAATGCGATAAATATCAATATGCAATGTTTAAAAATTTTGTAACTTACCAGCTCCATCAAGGAACAGCTTGGTTGTAAGCTGTTAGGTAAATATATATAAATACACATCCATTTGCATTAAATTGTTGATTTTAGATCATTAATACCAGATATGGGACTTGAAGATACCACAGCCTGACGAATTTGTTCAATGTAGGAAATTATTATTGGATGATCAACATTATTTGCAAGAAAATATCCTTCGACATTTGATTCATGTCTAAAATTTCTTAAACGTCAAAAAAGAAACATAACCTAATATCAGAATTGACTTCTGATTGACAGTAGACTAGAAATGTAATGCAGGACATACATGTGCCTTACCTGACTAATGGGCAAAGGTCCTACGGACCGCCCAGACAAACAAATGACGAATAGTTAATGTGCCTTACCGAACAAGACATAATATTATCGACATCAAGGAGGACATAAACGCGCCCTACAATTGTAGGGACGACGGACGATACGGATCCCATAACATGTACAATAAACAGAAAAATATGCCTAGAAAAGTTGTTATACAAATTGCACAAATTCGCACCTTACTTGGAAAACATGCCGCTATCCACAAGGTGATACATAATTACATTAAAACACATATATTTTTTAAATGAATTTACAATGAAAATAAAAAAATATTTGTGCAAAATGGTTTACTTTACTGATGAACAATGTTTCTTAAATCTCTGATTTAAATGTCAATGTGTACTCGTTTTTTTTTTCGCGATTGAGTGAAAGTTGTATTTGTCTGGTGTTTTTAGCACTGCTTACATTTGCGACGCCTTTTTTGGTTAATTAATAAAACACAATGATAAATCCTATCTAACGGTTGGTCCAAGCAAAACAGTTGTCTAGTGGCGTGCAAATTTAGGCCCTAGCTCAATAAAGCGGAGTGTAGGGGCGGGTTAAGAGCGCCAGTGACTTAGGACGGATTAAGCCACAACTTAGCTAAACGGAGAAAAACTGTAGAGTTTTTTGCTGATCGTCAACACCATACTGAATCGCTGAGAGGGACAGATATAATATGAGTGAAATTACACAATCAAAAAACTATTAAATTTGCAAAAAGAAAATCATTGAAAAGGGGTTTGGCCTAGGAATGGGCACTCTATTAACAATGAGGAGAAATTAAAATTACTGATAAGTGATAAATAGAAAAAAAGGTAACGTGATTTTGGCACGTGACACACTCCTCTTACATTTTTATATGATCTTAGGAAGAAAATATACAACATATAGGTATGAAAAATATATAAATGTTATAGGGTCTAATATGAAGTTTTTCATGCACTATTTTTTGAAGAGGAGCATCTTGCTTGTAGATTTTGGG